GAGCAGAAAGTGCATCATGAACTTGAACCTGGCATGAAGTCAACAGCGGGCAGGGCTGCTGCCAGGTGAGCCTAACGTGAGATGCACCTGCTGTTCATAGGCCTGGCTGGAGGAGCCTCCTCACTCCCCTTTCCCCCCAGAAATGCAGGGGTCCAGGGCACTGCCTTGATTTACCTTAAAGTAGAAATAAGTTGCCTCACTCCCTCTTCTGACTCCGGAGGATCCTGTGCTAAGAGAATTCTCCTGATTAGACATTCAGAAAACAAAATAATAGGGCTTTGCCAAGAAGAATGTCTCTAAAACCCCCAATTTAATAAACAAGAAAGAATACACTGTTCTGTGAGGAAGTGGAAGTCTGAAACTAACTGGAAATGTTGCTTTTAAGAGGAAATGAATAAAACTAATAGGAGCTAGAGTTCCTAAGTATGAGGGTCAAATCGCATTACTTTTAAAGATTAATGAATATTATTTTCTGTAATAATAATAATTCTGGAGGTGGGTGGGGTGGGGGGTGGGGCTGACAACACAGGGTCTGATGGTAAATGCTGTCCCTTGGTCTTGTAAATGGAGCCGCCTCGTTCTGTTGGGACTTCGCTCCGATAATTTCCAGTCAAATGCTCCATAAGAAATAGAGTGCCATTTGGAAAGGCATTTAGCATGTCGGGAAGGATGACAAAGACCGTCAGTTGTCAGCCGTGACATGAAACAAAACCTCAGTGGGGAGACTGTGGACTTGAAAGGAGGAATGTGATGCAAAGACACTCAAACCGGTACTGCCCAGGTTTCATTCCACTCCCCAGGGAGAAGGTCAAGTTCACTGACGGAGGAAGAAATCACACTCTGCGTTCCACAGGAGTCGTGAGTGGAAGCATCTGCTTTTTACTGGGGTTGACCTCTATTGTGGGCGCTGATGCTAAGCCCGTTAGTAAAACCAGGACAGACGCAGGTTGGCACGTAAGAAGGACTGGGAGCTGTTTCCTCCTCCGTATCCATGTCTCTCATGGGGAGAAATCAGCTCCTCTGTCTGTCTCAGCAGCGACTCCTTGGCAGATTGGCGAACGCATCTTCAAACAGACAAATAGAACTTAAATAGGGCCCCCTCACACACAATTCTTTGTATTTACTTTATTGTCACGGAATTGTTTTTTTATTAACTCACTTTAAAAACTTCATTCTGGGGGGAAGGGGTTGAGGAGGCTTACACAATAGACAGATTGCATAGGCCTACATCTCTTAAAGAAATTGAATAAATATGAATAGCCTTCCACAACAGAAAGCTCCAGGCCCCGATGTTTTTACCGGTGAATTCTACCAGACATTTAAGGAAGAAAATAATACCAATTCTTTACAGTTTCTTCCAGAAGAGAGAAGGGGGAGGAATACTTCCTTAACTCATTCTATGAGACCAGCATTACCCTAATATCAAAGCCAGACAAAAACAATATATTTTGTTATGCAAAGGAACATTTCTGTACAGTATGATGATGTCTGTTAAGTTGTGGTATCATTTTGAGACCACTCAGAGTTGAAAGAAGAAAGAATTGATTATTCAAAGTGTTGATGTTACAAGCTTTTTAAAAGTCATTACAAGCTTTTTAAAAGTCAAAATTATTATTACTTTTCAAACTAGGAATCCAAGACCACGGGAGCATCCCACGGTTTTAGTTGCTAATAAGGTAAATGTCGTTGCTATATCCGCTGTAAGACTGAGCTTTATAAAATATTGTGTTTTCATCCATAGTTGCAGGCTCACAGCTCCCCAAACACTTGGAATTTATGGGTTGAGAGTGACAAAGGTGTCTTTTATGCTAATGAGGTGACTGTTGGACCCCTGTTAGCTCCAGACTCAACTTCTTGGGCATCCTTTGCTCCCTGTCGACCCCTCCTCTCCACCCTCCAACCCATCTCTTTATTTTTTAGGCTCAAAGAGTGTTCCTTTTTACTTTTTGAAGATTTCCCCCAACTTTATTGAGGTAAATGGACGTTTACTAAACCTCACATATTTAAAGTGTACAATTCTATCAGTTGTGACATGCATATACCCCCGAAACCATGATTTTGTAAACATTTCCATCTCCACACACACTCCCCACCCCCAAGTTTCCCAAGTCCCTTTTCATCCAAGCCTCCCTCCATCGCATCTCCAGCCATCTGCTGATCTTCCTCTCTCTGCAGATTAGCTTGTATTTTCTGGAGTTTCGTATAAATGGGATCACACGTTATGTTCTTCTCTTTTCTTTTGGCCTGCCTTCTTTCACTCAGTATGATTTTGAGATTCTTCAGTCTTCTCTATTGCTCAGATGTACTCCACTGTATGGTTTTACCACAATTTGTGGTGGATTGGGGTTGTTTCTGGATATTAACTCTAACAAGTAAATCTTCTAGTCATGTACAGGTCTTTGAATTTCATGCTTTCCTTCCTCTTTGGTTAAATACCTAGGAATGGAATGGTTGGGTGAAATGGCGAATGTATGTTTAACTTTTTAAGAAACTGCCAAACTGATTTTGAAAGTGGTAGTACCATCTTACACTCCCACTAGTAACTCATAAGAGTTTCAATTGCTCCACAACTGAAACTGTGGAGTTTAAAATTTAACCCCTCGTTGGGTTTTGTTTATTTTAATGCACAGCAGTTAAGTTACCTCTTGGTTTCATTTCTACCAAGGGGCACGCAGGCACAGCTTTACAGGGAATAAGATCAAATCATGCCTGCTGTGCCAGTGAAGTTAATAGTGGCCTTCTGACCCTCCAAAGCATCCTGGTTTGGACATAAAATATGTGGTTTCTTCTCTTCTAGCCCAACTAGCCATGGCCCCAGGCTGCTCACCTACAGCCACAGAACTCAGTAAGGCATCCTGTTCCACAAAGACTTTTCCCTCCTCTAAAAGTGATTCTCTGCTTTTCTTAAACAATTGTTTTCTTGCTTCAACCTAATTACAGGAGGAAGGGAGGTGCACAATGTAGTGCATCGTGGGGGAGGGGGCAAGTGGAAATTGATAGATGGAGGGAGTGGGAGCAGGTCCATTTGAGCTGGAGGCAGCCATGCTTGAGGAAGGACCTACTTAACTTTTCCAAGCAAGAACCGGGACCCCCCCTTTTTTGTCTGAGGTAGCGTGACTTGGATTTCTGTCCCTTGCAATTACGAGTCCTCACTAGAACACACAGTAGGGGACTGTACCTCACAGGCAACCACATTTTGTGAGCCTTAGCTGCCTCTCATTTCACATGTCTCCCCAAGAGAGGCTGTTTCTGCTGACCTGGCCCTGGGACTTGAAAGCAGTGATGCTGGTTGGGGGTGAGACCTCAGAGAGCATTAAGTGACCAGGGTCAAAGTTTTTCACGGTCACCACACAGTTTGTTTGATTGAATACTCTAGTTTTGTGTGTCCCATGTAGAGCAGCAGGACCTTTAATATCTAACTCACTGTCATTTTTGTGGTATGACCCCAAAACTTCTGAATTTGGGGAAGCAGCCTTCGTTTCCAACTAGCATTTTCTTCCTAGCGGAAGAAAAGAGGCCGAAAGTGGGGGACAGAAGTTAAAAAGGCCCGACCCAGTCCCCTCTGGAACATCCTTAGGTTTGACTGCAGAACTGAGGGAGGCTCCTGCCCCAAGCCCCAAAGAGAGGCCAGGTAGTGTCTGTCCCTGGGCCACCCTCTCCTCTGTGGGGCTCCGCCTGCCCAAAGCAGCCACTCCAGGCTTCACCTCGGGGAAAAGACACAACAGCCTCCAAGCCGCACAGGAGCCCTCGGACTAGGGTGGCAATTCCAAGTCAGGATCAGGAGGTCCACCACGGCCCCCAGGTGACCCTTTGCAAAGAACAGGGCACAGGCCACGCCGCTAAGTCCCTAAGTCCCGCCTCCGCGCCCCCTGAGGCCCGCCCCGTGGCCCCGCCTCCCCGCCTCCCGCGCTTCAGGCCCCGCCCCTCTCACTCCAGGGCCCCGCCCCTACGCTCCAGGGTTCCGCGCTCCCCAGCCCCCGCAGCGCGCTGGCCCCGCCCCCACGTGCCCCGGGAGTCCCGGGGAGGAGTGGCCGCGCGCGGGGAGGCGTGGCCGCGGTGCCGGCGGAGGCGCGGGCGGCGGGGCCCGGACTTTGGCTTTGACACAAGCGGCGAGCGGGACCCGGGCGCTGGTGCGGGACGCTGGATGCGGTTCTGGCGGATCCTGCGTCCCACCGGATCGCAGGACTTTTTTCTGGGATCCACGTAACTGCGGCGACGCCGCCAGCCCGGGTGCAGCCGCCGCGAGACGGTGCAGCCGCGGGCGGCGGGCGGGCTTCGCTGCCTCCGCTGCGTCCCCGCAGCCCTGCACCTCCGCCGGCGCTAGGAGAGCGACCCCGGAGAGTTCCTCCCGCAGGAAGCGCCGGGACGCGCGGCCCGAGGCGGCGTGGGCGTGATCCCGTGGCCCGGCCCCGACCCGCACCCGCTCCCGCGCGGGCGCCAGGGCTGGAGGCAGGGCCCCGGCGCTGCCCGGGGCTGGGCTCCGGCCGCGGAGCCGCAGGTGGAAGAAGGACGCCCCGGGGGAGCGCCGAGAGGTGGGGCGCGGGGCGGGCGGCGGGTCGGTCTGGCGGGAGCCGGGGAACATCTCCGTGCCGCCCTAGCGAGGACGGAATTCCGGCAGGAGCAGGAGGTGTGGGCGGGTGGGGTAGGTCTCTTCCCCGGGAACAGACTTGTGGCCTCTCTGGGTCCCGGCGTGAGAAAACCGGACCTCTTTGGAGGAACACCCAGGGCGCCCAGCCTCCCTGAGGGCTCCGGGCCCCGGGCGGCCAGCAGCCGGGACTCCGAGGAAGCACTTCAGCCCTAGGTGTGGGGAGCGCGAGTGCGGATGGATGAGCCGGTTCCGTTGACTTGAGCGGATGCATGTGTCTTCCAGGTGGCCAAGGGACCGCTGCTCCGGGACGCCCTCCGGTGCCTGCCCGGTCTCCTGGGCTCCCTCCTCCCTGGACAGCGCGTTCCTCTGCGGCGGCGGCGAGGCCTCCCCGCGCCCCTGAGCCCGGGCGGCCATGGGCAGCACCCTGGGCTGCCACCGCTCCATTCCCCGGGACCCCTCGGACCTGTCGCACAGCCGCAAGTTCAGCGCCGCCTGCAACTTCAGCAACATCCTGGTGAACCAGGAGCGGCTCAACATCAACACGGCCACGGAGGAGGAGCTGATGACCCTGCCGGGGGTGACCCGCGCCGTGGCGCGCAGCATCGTGGAGTACCGCGACTACATCGGCGGCTTCAAGAAGGTGGAGGACCTGGCCCTGGTCAGCGGCGTGGGCGCCACCAAGCTGGAGCAGGTCAAGTTCGAGATCTGCGTGGGCAGCAAGGGCAGCTCGGCGCAGCACTCGCCCAGCTCCACGCGGCGGGACCTGCTGGCCGAGCAGCAGCAGCAGCAGCCACAGCACCACCTGGCCACGGCCTCGGCCGCCATGCCCCTCACCCCGCGCGTCAACATCAACACGGCCACCCAGGCCCAGCTCCTGAGCGTGCGGGGCCTCACGGAGAAGATGGCAGCCAGCATCGTGGACTACCGCCGGGAGCACGGGCCCTTCCGCAGCGTGGAGGACCTGGTGAAGACATCGGGGGGCATCAACGCCGCCTTCCTGGACAGGATCCGGCCCCAGGTGTTCGCGGAGCGGTCCCGGCCCCCGTCCACCCACACCAACGGGGGCCTGACCTTCACCGCCAAGCCTCACCCCAGTCCGACCTCGCTGAGCCTGCAGAGCGAGGACCTGGACCTGCCGCCGGGTGGGCCCACTCAGATCATCTCCACGCGGCCTTCGGTGGAGGCCTTTGGAGGCACCAGGGACGGGCGGCCTGTGCTGAGGCTGGCCACGTGGAACTTGCAGGGCTGCTCCCTGGAGAAGGCCAACAACCCCGGGGTGCGAGAGGTGGTGTGCATGACGCTCCTGGAGAACAGGTGAGGACAGGGACCGCCAAAGGTGTTGGGGTGCATGCAAGAGTGGAAGGAAGGAGATGTTTTTACGGTCCCTTCCAGGTCAGAACTCCCTGGCGGTGGTGGCTGTTGGTGGGGGCTCACAGCTTTCCTTTGCTCTGTCTGGGTTGTGGGTGAGGTTGCTCTGTCTGGGGTGCTCCTCGGTAGCTTTCAGAATACTGTTGCCTGAGCTGGTGGCCCGTTTCATGAACGTGGTATAGCTGAGGCCAATTCATAGTTTGTGGGAGAGGAGACTGTATTGGTGTGACTGCTTTGGAGAACATTGTTTGACTCAAGTCTTCGTGGGTGTATACCCATGAAGCACTCAGAGCCTGGGGACCATAGTTCAAAACTGTGGTTTTGCATGTGAGGAAAAGCTAGTCGGATTTTCTCTCTCTCTACTCTCTCTCTCTTCTCTCTCTCTCTACTCTCTCTCTTCTCTCTCTCTCTCTCTCTCTCTCTCTCTCTCTCTCTCTTTCTCTTTCTCTTTGTGTGTGAGCGGGAAGTCATTTGTTTCCCTAAATAGGCCTATTTGTGTGCACAAAATCAGCTTAAACACCAGGTATTTGCAAACACATGCGTGGTGTATATTTACCAAAATGCCATGAATGAATCACTCTTCATTCTTTCCCCTTATTTAGCCCGAAGCTAGCTTTCAGGCCCACAGTGGCAACCCCAAATGCCTGCAACCTCTCCTGTCCCGTGGCCAGCGGAGGTCACAGGGCTGCGAGGTGAACAGTGGCCACATTTTCCCACTTGACCTGCAGGAGAGGCTGTGGGATGGGCTCTTATCACAGAGCTGGCATTATTCACTGCCACAGTTCTCTGCGGGAACTTCTGCTAAGCCCCCGTGAAACGAAACAATATTATTGTAGCAGTAACTCCTGCTGTTAATAAAATAGTGAACTGTATAATGCAATCAGCTTTGGGAAGGAAGGAGATGTTTTTACGGTCCCTTCCAGGTCAGAACTCCCTGGCGGTGGTGGCTGTTGGTGGGGGCTCACAGCTTTCCTTTGCTCTGTCTGGGTTGTGGGTGAGGCTGGCCCTGTAACCGCTTGGTGACATGGAGTGAGTGGGGGCTGGGGGACGGGAATCAGTGCACGGTGACGAAGTGGCAGGACACATGGGCGAGGGAAAGCAGGTCATAGCGTCTCGCTGGCCCGGTCCCAGGGGCACTCTTATCACTGAGGGTGGAGGGACTGTGCACCGGCTCAGAGACCTGGGCCTCCGAACCCCGAGCCTTCTCCTGGCGCCGCCCTGTCCTTTGCTTTGCAGCACAACTCACTCCTTTTGCAAAATCATCTTGTGCACAGGTGAGAGCCGGACTCGGTCCTAGAAAATAGTTATCCGGAATGGCTTGTTGTCCTTATCTGTAGCAGCACGGATGTGTGTATGGGGCGGGAGGGGAGGAGGGCGGATGACAGTTCAGTTCCCATCAAGAGTTTCCCGAAGGCTCCTGTTGCGGTTTGTGTGTGTGTGTGGGGTGGGGGGGGATCAGGATCTGAAGTCGCCCCAGTGAGAATGGCAGCCTGGCAGCTCTGGCTCGTTTCCCATGACAGTGATTTTTCAACTGTGGTCTCCAGACCAGCACTGACCTCCTTGACTGACTCCAAATCCCAGGTTTCTGTGTTTTCTGTGCACCCCGGCCAGCTCTGGTGCACGCTCAGGGCTGAGCCACGTTGTCCTGTGTGCCCGGTGGTGGGCTGATAGCACCTTCCTGGTGCTGGCTCTCCTGACAAGCCTGATGAACCCACCGGAGCTTTCTCGGTTCTGGTTTTATGTGTTGTTATCTTTGTTCTGATCATCCCTGCATTTGTTCAACCCTCTGATCGTCTTTGGTCAGAGTGTGTATGGGTTATTCGGCTTCCAGAGAGATGAATGTCAGGGTGGAAAATGGGAGGGAGGGCAGGGACGGCCAGCCGGCCTGGAGAGGGGGGAGGGGAGCAGGGGGGGGACTCCTCCCCGCAGCGCAGACCCCGGCAGCCGGGCACGTGAGGAGCAACGTCAGCAGCTCTTGTCCGCGGGGCCGCAGCTCTCCTTTCTCACACCTGCCACACCTGTTGTCCTGCGGGGAGGTGGTTCCTTTTGTCTCCTCACAATGCGCTCAGTGTTCTGGGCTCGCCGGGCACCTTGCAAGGGTTGGTAAACATGAGGTCATCGTTTGGGGCCGATGTGACTGTCTCAGCGCTGACTGGGATGGCCAATCACGTGTCATCAGCCAGCGATGCACATTCTGCTGGAGCTGATTCACAGAAATCCCTCGCATTCCAGTGGGTCCTCTTCTCAGTAAGAGGAAATAGAGTTAGTGTGAGCAAGACTGGCTGCAGGGAGGTTTCCGGGTGGCGCTTTTTGTTCATACACGTGCACATACAGGGGTCACCTGACTTCTGGACGGGCTCTCCTAGTTCCCTACCACTTCCCCGTCCATCCGACCTCCCCAGTACCCCCGAGAGGAAGGCAAGGCGGGCTTTGGTTAGCGCTCTCCAGCTCTGGGCGAGGAAACAAAAAGCAAAGAAGTCCCGTGATGAGCTCATCAGTGACTCAGCTGGGGCTCAGACCCAGACTTCTGAGGGTAGACCTGTGTTCTCCGCATGCATGCCGTGTTTGGTAAGCAAGTCACCCTTACCCACCTCTTATTCAGGCATCCTGCACTCTGCCTGTTCAAGGACACGTGGCAACGTGTGTGCCAGTCACATTTTCTTTCTTTTTTTTAATTAAATTATTATCTGTGTACATATTTTAACATTGCCCCCCCTCCCATATCCAGTCACATTTTCTGACGTCGTAGAGGCATTTCAAACAAACAAAAACCACCACTCTTCTGTGTTAAATTGGTGACATTCCTTAACCTCCCCAGGTCTCAGTTTTCCCATCTGTTAAACGGAGTTCAGGGGAAAAAAATGGGGCACTTCTCTTTCGAAGGAAATAGGGAACGGCTTCTTTTCCTGTCTCTGGGTTTGCATTAGGAGGCATTTTCTTTGTAAAGGCACCCAGGTGGGACTCTGCAGCGTCAGAGCCTTCCTTGCCCTGAGGTGCTGCCCCAGGGGCGGACCCGCGGGTGGGAGCTCCCGGAAACCGCACCTGGCCGCCGGCTGAGGAAGGACCTCGGAGAGCTAGAGACGCACTGTCACCGGGACCCAGAACTGACAGGTTTCCTCAGATTCCGCTGCCAGTCTGTCTGTCTTGGGCAATGCTTTTCCTTGTTCAGTATTTATGGAGCAAGACCGAAAGAGGAATGCTCCTGCCAAATACCCTTGCAGACATTTGGTGACAGCCAACATATGGAATGAAGGTTGTTCTTTTTTCTTTTTTTTTTTTCCTGAGGAGTTGTTCTATTTGGAAAGAATGAGCCCGGGGAAATGGACAGATGATCACCAAGAGAAATAAAGAGGCTTAATGTTCCACTTACCCAGATCCCCACGGCCTCCCTCCGAAGGAGCAGTGGCGAAGTCCTGAGCTTGACAAGGGTCTAAACGCGTGTCCTTGCCACACGTCTGCCCGTGGCACCAAAGGACCAGGGGAATGCATGCCTGGAGACGCATCCCTATTGCCAATCAAGTTTATCCGATTTGATAACTATAGACACAACTCACCTTGTCACTCGGTTCATGCATTGGAAAACTGCGTGTTGAGTGGCTGCTGTGGACATGCGCTCGCTGAATTCCCGAGCCAGCGGGCCCTGCTGCGTACCAGCGTGAGGTGCGTGCGAATCCGCTGGCACGGCCCCGTCTCAGAGCCAGCTGGGAAACTCAGAGGTATCTATTTATTTATTTTAAGAAAGCCTCTGAGTGTGACTGAAAGCCACCTGGACTTTCCCCAGATGAATATGGGGCTCCTTCATCCTAGGCCCGTGGTCGGCAAACTGCGGCCCTCAAGCCACATGCGGCTCTTTGGCCCCTTGGGTGTGGCTCTCTCACAAAATACCACGGCCTGGGTGAGTCTGTTTTGAAGAAGTGGTGTTAGGAGACGTTTACGTTTAAAAATTTTGGCTCTCCAAAGAAATGTCAATGGTTGTACTGTTGATGTTTGGCTCTGTTGGCTGATGAGTTTGCCAGCCACTGCCCTAGGTGATTGGCAGGTGGGTAGGTATAGCCAAACATGGCAGCTAGGACATTCATTCTGATAGCGGTGGAAACTGAGGCTCAGACTGGTAGCAGCCTTGTGGCCTTCTGAGCTAGAGATTTGGGAGTCAGGATCGGAAGCCAGTCTGCTGTCTTCCCCCAAACTTCCCGGCCTTGGACTGACCCCTGGCCCACCTGCTGCTTCCTCCCTGCCTTGTGTCTCTGGCTGGCCTGGCTTCACCTAGGCTCCTGGGCCCAGGACAAGGCCCCAGAGGCCTCTGTTCTCTTCCTGTTTTTGTTCTGAAGGACCAGGCTTATGGCCAGAGAGGGAGAGCCATGCGGAGGGCTCAGGGCCCCTCCACCCGGCCCCTGACATGTGAGAGGCTGTGACCTTGGCTCCCCGCCAGGGTGGAGCACTGGCTTTCTGAGCCAAGGAGCGCTGGGTCATTTCCAGAGAGAAAGGTGGTCAAGGCTGAGCCCGCCGGGAGCTGGCTTGGGAGGTCTGATAGCACCGGGGATGTTTGTGGCCCTATTATTTACTCATTCATTCAGCTGATGGTTAGGAGCTCTCCCCAGGTGCCAGGGGCTGTGGCCAGCTCTGGTAATAAAGTGGAGAACAGGCCCCAGCCCCTGCCCTCAGGGTGTCTCCACGTTAGATGGGGAGACAAACACGTCAGCACATGGATATACAAGGACAGACAGTGGCCGGTGCTGAGGAGGCTGGAGGGGAGGTGAAGAGAAGCCTGGAGGTCGATGGGGTCAGGAAGGCCTCCGATAAAAGCTGACGGAGGAGCAGGGCCAGGCATGGAAACGGGGGGAAAGGGTGCCCCACGAGAGGAACCAGCAAAGGCCGAGGCCCTGGGCCTGTTCCAGACAGAAAGCCAGAGGTCGGGAGTGGCAGGTGGCCATGGTTGCAGGGAGAGG